TTATCCTCCATTGTATGTCTCTATGCTCAGACCCTGGCAGAATCTGAAGTGTTGAGAGCAATATGGTAATGATGTTCACACACCCAGTATGGAAAACCATATCATTTGAGAAAGAGAGAAGCACAAAGGAATGGAATACTTCAGTTTTTTAATGCAAATTGACCTAACCTTTTTTCACAGACTTTAGAAAGAATTTTTCCCAAACACTACAGCTCCTGTTAAGCTGGTGCTTTTCAAGTTTCCTTTAAAAATATGTTTTTGAACACCGAAGAAGACTGAAAATGCCAATGACCAAGGTCATACAAGGACACAGTTTCTGACTGAACCCAGGCACTAACAGTGAATAAACTCCAATACATTAGTAGACATAAAAGCTGTGGTGCAAAGCATGTATTCTGGAATAACAAAACACTTACTGTTTCTATATGAAAGAGAGAATAAGCATTAAATACAAAATGTATGTCTACTGTCCCAGTTGTATTTGAAAGTCTCTCTTCCTAATGCTTACACTTTTCAATTCTGCATTTATTTAACAAATAACCTTAACTCACTGAATCACATGTCCTTAATTGTTGCCAGTCTCAACTGAGAAATGGCTTACAGCTGAGTCAATATAAGACCTGCTTATTAAAAGAGGAACAATTCAACAGTAAATAAAAGCAAAGTGGGACAAGTTTTTCTTGAAAGCTTATAGTGTAATTACTGTTTTCATGATACTTGATCTTTGTATAAGTCCTTTAAAAAGGATAAAAATATCCATACAGCATGTGGCATGGGTACAGTTCATACTGGCAGATCCAGATATGCATATATTTGGAGCATACTTCGTCTCAAAGTTAAAAGAATTTTACATTGCATTAGGAAAAAACACAGAATGTACTGCTACAGTTAGAGTAATGAACAGTGTACTAAAACTAAAACTAACACTGTAAATCTAACAGATCTTCCTGTTAATGTAAGGTAACAGCAACTGTAGGTGATAAAATAAAAAAGTAATGAAATGGTAAATTTACTAACAGTATCATTTACACAGCTACAGTGCATACTCTAAATACTTTGTTGAGTACTTTCAAGAGAGTAAGCAGTGACACTATTTAAATTTCACTATAAATACAAAATGTGTCAATAACACAAAATTTAAAATTCTTGTGTAAATAACTGGACTATGTCAAGATTATAGTATAGCATTTACTTCATCATGTCGCAACTTGTTAGAAAATGCTATAGCCTGAACGGTAGCAGGCTGGGGTTAGAATTAACCTTTCTCTACAGATATGTTATTTCCTTTTTATATTCTTGTGAAGCATGTGATCCTAGTTATTCTTAGATGCAAGATTTATTGGCCTATTGGTCTGGTAAGCAAATAACACACTTAAGGACCTGAAATCCTCACATTTAATTAGCATGGTATCTTCTTGTCTGAGAGCAATAAAAATGAACTATAACTAAAGAACACTTCATGTGCAGGTATGTATTCTGCATGCAAGTCCTACATGATTAATTCCAGTGATGTTCTCTGTTGAATGTCTTCTCACAGTCAAGAATCAATGGAGCTAGGTCCTACAAGCTGAAGATAACAATTTCTAAAAGCAATAAATGTTTCTCAAATTCAGACTCAACTCAAAAAATTTAAACTAAATGGTCTCAAGGGAACTGTATGTTCCCTTAAATTCAAGCAAATATTCAAATGACTAATCAAAAGTATTTTCTATTGCAATTCTGTGAAAGAAAAAAGTATCTTGAAATCAGCATGACAGACCTGCTGCTTTAGTTCCTTCTTAAATTGTGGAAGCCTGGTGTGGAAGACCTTAATCAAATAAAATGTCAAGTATACAGCATGAGGACATGTGAAGGATGTTTGTTGCATTGAGTTTTTCAATTTCAAAGAACTATCAGAATAATAGTAAACCCTAAAATTTACCACATAACCAACAGCAATAATAAATATCATAGTTTGAGAGAAAAACTCTGTATCCATATGATAGTATATCAGTGCATATTTTATATAAATTATGTGTTTAAAGTGTTGTAAGTTGCACTGCAAAATGCAGTGAAGGAACTAGGACACTTCTCACCAAACTCAATTATTTTCCTCTTATCCACATGTCACGGAATCATAATGGTTCCTTCTCACTCTTCTGATTCCACAAATTGGATACCTTGCAGAGTGGCCCTGGCATGAATCCCACCACCACAATGGAAAGAGAGGAGATTGGTCACCTGGGTGGAGTCTCCTCTACACAAGTCCTTTTCCTCTATTAAGGAAATTCTCAATACAACTTTCATGTGCAATTTCTTATGGGACTTTGGAGAGCTTGAAGGATGCATGAAGACATTCTTGTAGGGTTTCACTACATGCTTCTCTTCTATCAGGATCAAAACTATCTGCTTCCTCATGATCCCACTACAGCGACTGGATGACAGCAAGTTGTCTAAGCAATTTGAGGGGAAAGATATAAGACTCTTAAAAATGTAGAAAAAATTGTGTTAGGAAAATAGTGCATATGCATTTTGCCTCAAGAGATCATGGTTTATGAGTATTTGACACAGTTCAATTACTGACAAATAATAGCTTTTCCTGAAACTGTATGGGTTTTATCAACTGTCACCATTATCTTGACTTTTTGTGATTTTATAAATGTGTAGGATGTTAATTAAACTCATAAATAAGGGTAGTGAAAAAATCAATGCAGTTATTTCTAGGAATACAAAACCCACAAATTAAATTATTTAAAAAGTTAGGAAAAGACTGCAAAATTTACCTCGAAAACATTAAAAGTTAATTATTCTTTCTAATTAACAGAAATGCAGAGCACAGATAAAGCCTCTGATGACAAGTCTTTCCTCAGGCATCAAAAGCTCTCTTTAAACACAGTGTACTGATGAACTATGTAACAAAAAAGAGGGTTAGCTGTAGCTTTTCTGTTTTCTTGCACTGATATAAAGACGACAGAATATCTAAGTAACTGTTTACCACACAGTGTGGGGTTGCTTTGCTCCTTATTTCTTCATCCCTGCAAGTATTGTAACTTGAAAGACCTCAATTTACATAGAAATAAGGCACTACTGCTTTTACACAGGTACCCCCAGTTGCAACTGTGCAGACAAGAGTTTTAAAACTCATAATCTCTTCTTAGGTAGACTTGGTCAGGGATGACTGGCTAATTGGGAGAAAACACATGAAAGCACCTCAAAATCCAATTAGCACTTTGTTGCAATTAAATAGCTTTGCTATTCTGTAGAGATATGGCTTTGATCTTGCTCTGAAAAGTGTCCTTTCTTAAAGCTGATGTTTTGACTTTTTTCTCAGTAATTAGTGCTAATTGTAAAGCTATTCCTGACATGCTATAAACAGTATTTTGCTGCGTTTGACACAATGACCTTAAATCAGTGTTCTCTTTTGTCTATATTGTACTGGTTTATTATTGGCCTAGCTACTTTACTCATTATTAAATGCACAATATGTAAAACATATTAGTCAGATGAAACAAATTACCTAGGTTTTAGAGCTTTTATGGATACCTTCACTGATAATATTAAAACTTTGATTTTACAATTACACTGATCTGCTCTTTTAAATTTCTTTTTTTTTTTTTTTTTTTTTTGAACTGGACTGGAAAAGATGAGTTTTGATTTATGTCTGTTGTTTTGGTTTTTTTTTTTTCCAGTCTACTCTAAGAAGTACACTGAATAATGAACTGGTCAAATAATTCTTATTCCAGTTTTCTTGACCACTATTCATTCCCTCTAAGCTACACTTCTTACAGCTACAAGTTTACTGGCTGCATTATTGACCTCCAAAAAGAAGAGCTAGTTATAACATACGTTTTGATCTCAAATGCAAACTCATTAACACAAATATATGAACTATTTTATGCACTAGTATTACACTTGACGGGAAAAATGACAGTGATTTTTGTTGGCTTTTTGTATGCATGAAGCTGCCAGAAGGTCAACTGATAGTTTCTATTGTTTGTTCTTCTCCTTGTCTCTCTTAATTCTGCAATTCAAGAAATCACCACAATACAGAAAACATAACTGTGATGTCCATTTGACTCAGGCCAAGAATTCAAAACAGATCTCACAATCTCAGACAGTAACTTGAACACTCCCATACATACAATATTCACTGTATTATCTTTCTCAATTTTCCCTAGTGGGATTCGATTAGTATAAAATGCTTACATACTACGTGTTTAGCTAGCTGTGAAAAACAGTGATTAATCTTTAGAACGGAGTGAGAAATCCAGCTCTGGGATACAAGACAGAAGCTTTTTCTGTCTTTCATACAGAGGAACCAATGTACAACAACAACAGAACAAGTAACAAATTTTGTATTTCTTTTTCTTAAACTTATTCATTAAAAAAATACTATTTTTGTCTTTTCTATGCAAGGAGTTCAAAAAATATCAATTAATTCATTCACAGTCAAAGCATGGGTTGAAAGTTAGGAGAATTGTGAATTTCAACAGCAATTCCATTATTCTCAGTTTACCACAGTCCTTTGACCTATTATTTTTGATGTGCTTGAGACAAATTTCACCTGCTGTGGTTATCAACTTGATATGCTACTGAGATTTCAGTTGTGGCAATCCAACTTGTATCGACAAGGGCTGAGGCCAAAGTAGCTGCTGCTTTGCAATGGCATTAAGTGTCACACTGCCACATGCCACTGAACAGAATCAGAGAAAGATACACTTCCAAGTAGGTCAAGTAATTTAACTGTTGTTCCCACTAAATAGTTCTACACAGGCTACAAAAGTTATTGTTTTAGTAACATAGTTAGACATACAAACCTCAGGCAACAGGATCAATATTTTAATGATCTGTTTTCAGGGTTGAAAAAACAATTATAAGACCCGCTAGATTTTGAGGAAAATATTTATGTTAGCTCAGAAATGTTTTTTCCATCTACAAGCTTTGAATAAGTGACTGAACAGTCAGCTAAATATTTATCCCTAAAAAGAAAAGACAAAGCATTTTATACTGAGGTTACTCACAAGAAAGGCAGATCATATTAAGGCCTAATCCTGCACTTTCTGACGTCAATGGGATTCTTGCCATTGGCCTCAATGGGAAAAAAGAGGGCCATTAAAATATAATTTTACTTTTAGTCAGTCTTAATTATACAATGATGGAATAATTAATTCAATTGTTTGATTCATAACATTTTAGCATTTATAAACACAATTAAAACAGCTTTGAGATACTAATTAAATTTTAGGGGCATCTTTTAAAATAACATTTACCTATTAACTCTAGTAACAAGCATTAGAACAAAACCTAAATGGTATACATTCAGTTTGGAAGCTACAGGTGCGTCACTACTAATGACATATACATTATACCACTGTTCTAAAAAACCAAATGCTTTGAGAAGAGTAATGAGGAGGCTGCCAGCAGTGCACTCCAGCCCATTAGTTTCCACTTCCTGCCATGCTCTCACCTGCTTTTTAGCACCTTGCAGCCAACTTACAAATGGCAAACACTGAGACTGTGTCCAAATTGTAGAATTAGAAATTTTTTTCAAATATGAAAAGAAGGAAGCTCGCTCTTTTCCCAGTGTTATTACCCAGTCCAAGTCTCCACCATTAAGAATGTTTGATGACCAGCAAGCATTTTGCAAAACATCTCTCTGCAAAACTCATCTCAAGATTAGTTAACTCTACTGACATGCTGACTTGCAAGGTTGATAATCAGCCACAAACAACATTTTTGCCTGCTAACAACACCAGGAATTAGTCTTCATTATTTTCCAGTCCTCTCACTGACTATAGTCAAAATGGATTCAAAATAGGTACTGACATGTAACAAAAGAATGTGAAATGTTCTCCAATTAGGCAGACCTCTTATTAGATAGATTGCACATAATCTTCATAATCTTGGTATAAATGACTAAAAACAAAATTACTATAAATTGGTATTATGCAATCTAGTGCTTTAAATTGAATTGGTAACTCGCATTTACTCCAGAGCCTTTACCAAAATCTAACACAATAAAAAAATGTAAGGAAGAGGACTTTTTTCCTAGTTGAGTGGCAGTGCAAGTAGGTCTAAGAAGACTCAAATAGATCTTGATAGCCAAGAGATTCTCAGAGCTGGGCTACACCAGCTCAATGCCACTTTTGTCACAAAGCTGACAGGTACTAACTCATTAGATTAGAAATAACTAACCAAATACTGTGAAATGCTTAATGCTGTGATATCTACATATTGTAGAAAATTCTGTAATACTACTGGGATCTTGAAAAATGGTAGAAAAAGCCACATACTGCCCAGAAAATAAAACTGAGTTGCTAATCAATTAATGAGTAATATGTGAATGCCAAGAACCAAACACAAGTAATGTAGGTTATTAAGACATTAAATAGCCTCTTCCTGTATTGCACCAGGACTTTCCGAAATGTTGTAACACTCAAAGTCAGATTTTTTTAAGCCTTAGAAGTCAGATCTTACTGAATTGCCAAGTGAAATGCACACTGTAGTCTGCCAACTTTTGCATATCCCAAAACTGATGATCAAGCAAGCTACAGCCTCCTAAGAAACCAAGGAAATAGTTTAAAGATGAGGCTTTTAACTATGAAAACAATCTTTAATTCCTTAACTAAAAGTCTGGCTGTAATCAGTCACCTATCCTACCTACATGGACAATGGGTTTAGCACAAAACCTTCTCAGGGTGAGTACTCCCTAAAGACTGAATGGTATTTTTTCAGAAATATTTCAAGGTAAAATACAGAAGGCTGTTTACCATATATTTACTTAAAAAGCATAAGAAAAATGACATAAAAAGGAGATGTATTTAAATATATGCATTTAAATAAGTCTGGAGAGAAAGAAAGAAAGAAAAGTTGCCCAACGAAGTTGGGCAGAGTATATACTTTTGTCAGAAAGAAAAGAGAAGATCCTGTATTTTAAGCATCTATAACTATCTTGTAATGTTCTGGCATGTAAGCACCACAGTTACAGCCCAGACATGTTTCACAAACAGACTTCTACTTCTTACTTAACAACTTGTTCATGAAAAAACTCACTTCATATATAAAAAAGAAATGCACTGTGCCACTCTTGAATAGCTAAGGAATGTCAGGCACTACCTTATTAACATTTATAAAAGGAAAACATGATGGAACACGAGGGAATAAAGAAACTCTCCCCTTTCCTCATATTGCACATTCCTTCCTGTATTTACTCAAAAGCAATGGAAAATATTTTAGAAAGCAAGAGTTTAAGATCTGTTTTGCCATGTGTTAAGTCCTACTATTTGGTATTCATTCATCTTTTAGTACCTGTGGCAATGGGTAGGCAGTGAACTGTGAATGTTGCCCTAGCTAGAGATTAAAGAATTTCAGTGTGTTTGCACTGTTAGTGTGATCCATGTTTTGATAAGCACTTTTATGCATTCCATGCATTCACAGCAGTTTTATTTAACCAACAGCACCAAAAATGAAATGTTGCTTTTGTATATTTAAATTGCATTCCTAGTTTCTAGGCAATTGGTGCATAATACAAATCATAGGTATAAAAACTTAGAAAATATGACACATGTCATAGTCCAACTTAAAAACATAACAAAATAAGCTATGTTTTTGCTAAGTCATATACCTATTTAAATTAATTTCTGGTGATAGAGGATACAACCTTGTTTAATAAAGGGAATGACCAGTTACACAAATAGGCTTGTCCCACATTTTAACTCCCTCACAGTGTTTTTATATACTTATCTGGCTACCAAGCTGTGAACAGCTGAATCTCTACCCAGGAGGAATAAAAACCTTTTCCTCATGAAGGGCTTTGGATGCAAACACATTGATGCTTCTTGGCCACACTTCCTAACTGCAGAATGACATGGTAGTACCTGATCCTCAGCACTCTCATTGCATGTCCCTCTAAAAGTAGGATGGCAACAAATTTATGTTGCTCTATTTCCAGGTCCTAGCTCAGGATAGGGACTTGCTGGAAGTAACAAAAACTGAACCAATATAGTGACATATAGTCTTCTGTATTCAAACTACAGGTTACAAAGTAACATATTATTTGAAGCTTCTCTTTCAGGTTCAAAATTGTGTTAAATAAAACTTCAGGGCATACCAGGCTCATTTATTTTCCTACAACATGTGCCAGAAAGAACATTACAGGACATTTTTCAGCTGCTGAATTTTATTTTAAAACAAAAGAAGCTTAACCAAGCAGTCCATTAAAAAAACTTTGAAGAATGAAAATAAAATACAATTCAAAGCAATATTTTCATCTTTTGATAGCTGGCTGCAGAGCACATACACAATACATATATATTTACCTCCACATTTATTTTATCTATTTGGTTGCCTTTAATACCTGAATTTATGTAAGATAGTTTTGGAAACATTTGTAACACATTTATGGAAACATTTAACACTAACACTTACCATTTAACATTTAACACTAACATTTATGGATTAAGAAAGCAGTGACATGTTAAATGCACAAATTTGTGTGGATTTGCTTTAATGCAAAACAATTGTAGAGTCTTTTCTCAGCTATACTGTGGTCTGACACATGCTCTTCTGCGTGTTTTTCAAGTTACTCTAAAGAAAGCACAATATTATGACAACATTACATTTTATGCCATTTGGTGTCTTCTTGAGAGACAATGGTACAAGGATCTCACCTCCCAGTGGAGGTATCATTAGTTAAACAGCAACCTTTTGCTTTATGTTTTTGTAAATTTATGTTTGATTTTACAGTTCTAAAGCCCCTTGGTCCACATTTAAGCATCAGAAATGTCACTATGAACTTTAGTATGTTCTAATGAAGTGATAAATGTTTTAACAGAAATCCAAAGTTTGTAGAAATATTTGCTGTATGCCATATTTATTTCTACAACCAGAAGGTCTTTTGAAATCACTAGGTTCACCCATCACAGTTTATTTCTAATTGCCAGCCAACTGATGGACCCTGCAGACAACACTTCTGTAAGTGGATCTTAATTACCATGTGTACTAATGATAATGTCACTCAGAAATAGACCACAATCCATCTTCCTATGATATTTAATGGATTTCTACAAAACAGCGTGAACATACAGAACAGGTGATGAATTATACTAATGACCTGCATAGCCTTTCCAGTTAAAGTTCTGTCATATTTCCATTATAAAATGTCTTCACTTTCTACCTGCATCAGGCATAAATTATTAGATGTATAATTTGTGAATGTTAGCTTTTAAATAATAAGCATCTAGAACATCATGAGATAGAGTAACAAGCAGTATTAATGTGAGAAGGATGAATTTTAAAATTCCTCTAAAGAACTAGTAGCTCCTGACCTAATCATTAAACTGTCAGGCAGAAATCCTTACAGGAACATACATTTTTCAAGAAGTACTTCCACCTTGATGCTGACATACTTTAGATTCACTAGACATCTTTCCATCTTCCTTGCATAACAATTTTCCCCCTGTTTTTGATGTAAGGAGATTAATACACACAAATACAGGACTGAAGCTAAGCTGAGGTTCCACACCTAAAGCCAGAATCTGTAGAAATTGAGTACCATCAGACATGCTAAAGAATCCGCAATTTTTAATATTCTGGGATATACACATCCTTTGAAATAGATGGGGCCATACATATTTACCTCAGTTTTAAGCATATTTATGGGAAAGAAAATTAAAATCTACAAAAAATTCTAATAACTTGTAACATTAAATTTTAGTGAGAAAGAATCAAGAGGGAAACAAACTGAAACAATCTAAACAAAAAGCCCACTTGCTATAGTTTACTGTTGCAGACTTAGCCTTAGGGCATTTAAGAATTCATCTTGAATTCTGGCATTTATATATCCTTGGATATATATCAAGTCAGTTGAGGGTTCTCTATTTGAAACTCAAATCTTGGTTAATTAATAAACAATAAGAAGGTCACATTAACACTTCTGGATCAGCTTGCCTAGTTAGCACATGTCCCTTGCAAAACAGGTGATACATGCAACAGTTAGAATCATATGAAAATACTGCATCTTCATTATTGCAGCAGTAATTTTTAAAGAACAAGATGCTGGGAAAA